CTGTCAATCTGTGACTCGTAGGAAAGAACTAGCCTGACATTTTGCATTTTATGAAATCCTGTGAGATTCTACAAATAATAATGGTCACTTCTGGTGGCTCAGGATCAGTATTGTCACTTGAAATTTGAGGGAATAAGGCAACCTGGTGCATATCTGGTATTACATGTTCACTGGGAACTGAAAACAGAAGTGACTGAAATAACATATTCTAAATCTCATAACTGAAGACAGCATTTTAAAATTTTATCTCAAAAGGGTCTACAATTATGGATCCTTAATCTAGACTAGTTGGAGGCTATAAAATGTAATAAAAATTTCTAGCTACTTGGCCATAATAGGAATTTTCCTTTCTCTTTTTAAGATTTTAGTCATTTATTTATTTGTTGTAGCAAGAGATTAGGGAGAGAGCACAAGCGGGGGGAGCAGCAGGCAGAGGGAGAAGTAGGCTCCTGGATGAGCAAGGAGCCCAATAGGGACTTGATCCCTGGGATCGTGACCTGAGCTGAATGCAGGCACTTAACTGACTGAGCCATCCAGGTGCCCCAAGGGGATTTCCATTTTTAATAATAGATTTTTAAAAATCCTTAACATTTACAAAGTACTTTATAGTTATAGAACTAAAGCAGTATTTCGTTTGATCCTTAATGTTTCCCAGTAAGGTAGGTAGAACAATTACTATTATTCTTACCTTCCTGGTGGGGACATAGATATAAAGAAATTAAACCCCTGGTCTTCAGACACACAGGGAGGGGGACCATGACTCGAAGCAAGAGTCTTTCTCCCAACTGCACCATACTTCCTTCCCTGTCAGGATCTTAGTAGATTTTCCTTTTTTGTTTTCATATTCTAATGTATAAGTTTGGGGATGATGAAGCTTACAATATGGTGTCTTCGCTGGGCCAGAAGGATAGAGGCAATCATTTTGAAATTACTTTTTTATGTAACTACCAAAAATGTATCTCGTCAACAGCTTTATAGTCTAATCCTAAAAGAAGATAGTATCGTACTGGAGGAAGAACTTAGTAGTTGCTGAATTGAACTGATGTCAGGAAAAGAGAGTCCAGAGAAATGCAGTAAATCATTGACTAAATGAACAGATTTTCTCTGTGTAATATGGTAGAAAATGCCCCTATCTACTACATACGCTCAACTAAGAAATGCTCAGTTAAGAAAATTTAAAATGCTTCACTAAGAAAACAGATGTGAGATTGTTTAGGAGGAAAGAGTACTTAATGCACCCAACAAATATTGAGTAGCCATTGTGGGAAAGGCATTGTGATGCATGGTACAATGATACTGGGCATCATCTACTCTGTGCCAGTTGAAACCATAGCTTTATAAAATAGGGGATATTGTTAAGAATTTCAGGGATTACAAAGAAATGGAGTCGAGGAAAGACAGATGCAGATCAATGAAAATAACAGCTTACGACGATGGGTTTAACCTCAAAAATGATAAAATCGCTGACTGTCCAACCACAACATAAAGGCTAAAAATACATAGACTTCTGAGTAGATGCAGAAACATGAAACACATACTCAATTTCAAAGATTTGGTGTGCAACAAAAGAATGCAAATATCCGTAATTTTTAATATTGATTATATGTTAAAATGATATTATTTTGAGTACACTGAGTTAAATAAAACATGTTGTACAAAAATATGTCACCTCTTTCTTCTTACTTTTTTAATGTGGCTACTAGAAAATTTATAATTACTGTGAAGCCTGATGGACAGTGATGTTCTAGCAGGATGTATTGTGGACAAAAGAAAAATCTGGGCAGTGTATGATTCTGAAAAGGCTAATCATGGGGGATGCTGTCTTGGTGAGACATGGACTGAAGACACCGTAGAGAATAAGCCAAGTGTTATTAAACCCACAAATTACAAAAATTCTGGTGGTTCATGTGGGAACACAAGTACAGGCAGAAGGAACCTGGAAGATATTGCTGGAGATTCCAAAGTGAATGGACTGAAAACTAAACAAAGTAGAGGACATAGAGAATAATTTTGTTTCCTCTTTCACCTGAAGCACAAGTACTAGGAGAAAGAAGTTTATAAAATGCTTGTTAGAACTGAAGTCCAATAGACCTCTAGCACCTTCCCTCCAGTAGCCACTGACTGTTTCACACACACAATCTCCATGTAGGATAATGCTTATTTAGCTGACAAAGCTCCTTAGTACGCTCCACTGAGCTGTTTAACACGGACAATCCAGTCATCTTATTTACCTCCAGAAAATGTTCATAAAATAATTTGTAATCTCTAGCCACCCCCCAGGTTATAAACCAGAAAATTATAAACCAGAATTATAAACCTATCAGGGTTCAACTGCAAAGTGCCCCAAGGCAGGACCTGTGTTGAACTGAATTCTCAGGACCTGGCCCCTTACTGGTTACACAGTAAGTACCTAATACATATTCACTAAATACATTTTTAAAATGGTGGTATATTGAAGGTAAAAGTCGACACCGAAACAATACGGAAAAGGCAAAGACTGGAAATTTTGGGCGATAAGCTCACTGTTGTTGATAATCAGATGGGGGTGGGTGCCCAGAAATGAAGACCCAGAAGCCAACAAATGTCTCTTAAAATCAAGTCATGCCAATGGACCTCATAATCTTTTCTCTCCCTGCTTCTGCCTTTGATGACCTCGTTGATTACACCTTAAAAAATGTGGGGATGTGGGGAAATAAAGCAGGCATGAGGGCAGTTATGAGACAGTAACAAGTAAAATCCTAACGACAGACTGGTGGTTGAGAGACTGAGGCCAACCCAAAGAGATTCTGCAGTAGTGTATCAGGAGTTCCTCTGGGTCAACTTTTCCCTTCAGTGAGTTGGGGAAAGCATGAAAAGCATCTGCTTACATAGCAGGAAGGGGGAGGCATAAGTATGGCACAGGATGTAGTTCAGAAGACCCTAACTGGGCTAAAATATTTGAAAACAACATTATGAATACATGCAGTCTATATAATAGTGTATGAATAAATTATAATAGAAACAAACATGAGATAAATTTAGGATGAGGGAGATCTAGTCTGGCAAGAGCTCAGATGTCTATCAGATCACCAACAGTACAATGTCAAAGTAGCTTACGGCTAAGGCAATGGCAAGCTGCATTAAAGAAATGAAGTTCTAGAGGTGCTTGGGTGGCTCTTGGGTGGAACTACCTACGAGTTATCTTATTAGTAGCATTGCATAATTTCTATATTCTGCAGTCTATGTTCCAGGCAACTCATTGCTGTCTAAACCTAAAGAGCTTTTTTACACATTAGCTAGAGGGGAGAGGGGGTGCATCAATTTTAATCCTACCCTTTAAGGGAAGTACACAAATCAAAGTACTTGAGAGTGATGCTTATTTCTTTAAAACTCAGGTTCTCAGAAACCCTAGGTAAGAAAAACTCTATTATTCTCTGGAGAAATATGCCTTGGACTTTGTTTGCATTATATCTATTTAAATTCTTACCACGAAGTTCTGTTTTAATAATGTTGAAGGATACCCAATCCTGAATAATTACAGATACATTATACACAAAATTACATGTGTTTCCTACCTCAAGCATATAAAACTGTACTGAGGTTTTATAAATTCTTGTTGCTAACACACAGTGTTGTTTCTTGAAATGATTTTCATAGTAAGTAAGTGTCTAAAACAGGGCTGAGAGCCTCAGAGAGAAGGGGTGTGTGTGTGTGTGTGTGTGTGTGTGTGTGTGTGTGTGTTAGTAATTTGTTTATGCAACTCCAGTGATAGACATATTCATTTAAGAATCCCAACTTTATGGGACGCCTGGGTGGCTCAGTTGGTTAAGCAGCTGCCTTCGGCTCAGGTCATGATCCCAGCGTCCTGGGATCGAGTCCCGCATCGGGCTCCTTGCTCTGCAGGGAGCCTGCTTCTCCCTCTGCCTCTGCCTGCCATACTGTGTGCCTGTGCTCGCTCTCTCTCCCTCTCTCTCTGACAAATTATAAAAAAAAAAAAAAAAATTAAAAAAAAAAAGAATCCCAACTTTATTATGGTTACTCTTCTACTGGGGAAAGTTATTATTGCCTCCCTTCATCTCTCAGCTTTTCCCAATTTCCATTGCTTTAATTTCCCATTCAAATCAATTTCTTAAAATCGGGGGAAAAAATCTGCCATCAGTGGTAGACTTTAAGTGATACAGAGGGCTCATTTCTTTTCTAGTTCAAGTAAGAGCCTTCCAGAAAAAAAAAGATTAATGACACTGGACCTATTTTCTATAGAAAGGACTGTCAAATTCTACCAAAATCAGTCACGTTATTTCTTTAGCTCTCAACAAAACAAAAGACATCCAGACATTACAAGGCCAAAAGGAATTTCAGGGGTTAGTTTCAGGTTATACCTTCCTGGAGGGAAGTATGGCACAGGATGTAGTTTTAGCTATCAAATCAGCTGAGGAGGAGAATTACACAGGACCTGGTACTCAAACTTCAATGTGGAGCAGAACCACCAGAAGGCTTATCAAAACACAGACTGCCGGAACCCAAATTCAAAGTTTGCAATTCAGCAGGTCTGTTACCAGGAAGTTGCCCTGGTAACAAGCTCTTTGGTGATGCTGCTGCTACCCATCTAGGGACGAGGCTTTGTAAACCCCTGGTACAGGAGGATCCCTGCTATGTAACTGGTTGCAGCATGGTGTTTCCTTTATTTCTGCAAACTTTCATGGCTAAGAGTTTCTAATTCATACTCTAGACTGGCAGAGTATGAAAAGCCGTCTGAAGAAAGCCGTAGAAAGCCGTTTGCCATTCACCCCAGAATGGCAGACGGCTTTCTGCGGTCTCAGAACTCCTGTAAGGCACATCCTTCTCTCACTATCCTGCAGAAAAGATGAGGAAAGGGTACAATATTTCTGGAAGAAGAAACCAAAGCCATTTCTGGAGTCCTTCCCCCCTCCTTTCTTTAAACCGCTCACTAAATATTTGGAATGAAATTCAAAAGCAAAAGAAGGGGCGGCTCTGCCGGAAAAGAAGATTGGCATACTCACCAGAGCGGAAATATACCCAGGCGTGTGGTGATAAAAACCATGGCAAACATAACAAACAGAAGATCACAAATTTTCTGAAACTTGGCATAATTTGCCATTTTGGCAGCCTATGAAAGGAAGGAATGGGATATATTAATGTAGTTAAACTGGTAAATGAAAAGTTGCTTTCAATATGCATGAGTCTCCTATAAGATAGAACTTACAAGATCCATAAAATTGCCTGCTACTTTGAAATGTCATGCATCATGCATCAGTATTTATAAATTACCCATAAGTTCAGTGAAAAGCAACATTTGCTATAAGTAAAACTACGGACTGTCACAGATTTAATAAAACGTTCAGCAACCTGAAAAATTCAATTATATGGTTGATCTCAGGAAAACAGAAAAATAAGAAAATTCCTGCATTATAGAGGATATCAGCAAGACAAAGACACCAACACAGGAATTTGGCATAACAGGTCAAATACAAAGTGCTAGGTAATCCTTTAAAAGTCTAATGAGTCCCAAACACTAAGGCCACAAGCTTTATACAAAATATATGGAGCCTTTCTGTATTGTTTTCTCTTTTCTACTTAGAATGAAAGGTTTTCCTTAAACAGGCATAAGGAATATTCTTGGGAGACAGTTTCTTGGCTTATTCTCATAAATTTAGAAATACAGAACATGTCAAGATCATGTTATTTCAATGAATCCATTTAGGTATAATTTTCAAAGTTCCATTAATGGGTCATTTTCTAGATGAAAGTCACTAATGTTCCAAGTGTCTGTGAGAATTACTCTAATAATTTATGATAGTAATTTAAGTGACCACTGTTAATATTATAAATTAGGGAAGAGATTACCTCCCTTTTCCTACCATCTACACATTTTTAAGTAGATGATGTTATGTAACAACAGGTGACACTGAAAACATAATTTTGCTTGATCACCTCTTTTTACATTTTCACACAGAATTCACATGCACTCACACATAGGGTTAGAAATTGAAGATGTCTTGCTGAATTTATAACATTATCTTCTACTTCTCAGAAAGTTAAATTAGCTGAGTCAAACTTGAAAGGACTGTTGACAGTATCCATAGAAGCTAAAATTCTGCAGCTTTAAGTAAAACACAGAGTGGTAAGAGAAATGGATTCCTAAGAAAAAAATACTTATTAACTGAGAAGAAGCCAGGATTGTGAACTTTTAATTTCACGAGTACTTTGGGTGGGATACCACGAATTATAGTAGGAAAGAAGAAAAGCATCTTCTGCCTCCTTCTGCCTAGGTAAACCATTTTTCTCTTATGTTCATTCAACAGTATTCAATAAAAAAGCATCAAACATGTAATTTTTCTAAAATGTCTAGGTCATAGATCCCACTTCAAATAGTTGATAGCTGACATATCCCATTATTTGGATATTCTCAAGCATTACTATATAATGTAAAGAAAATCATTGTGATAAAGAATATTTGTCTTTAAGCCACATGGCTGGCATTTCTGGATTGTTTTCCCTTTCTGGATAAAAGTGATAGACAAAGATTCAACCAGCCATTTCCATATGCATTAAAGTTGGTAGACAGTACAGGGTTGATTTCAAAACTGCATATTGCTATATGAATCTCCACTTTCAAGCATACTTAGGATTTAACCAAATGGTAACTGGTTTGCAGGAGACTGCCCTTATAAAACTATATTTCTCCTTTAAAAAAATATGCTAAATAGAGTTTAGCTAGAACCACTTAAAAATTGTAACACCATACTATCATCTGAAATAGCCCGTTAGGACTATTTTTCTACTTCATAGCCTTATAAGGAACAGAGTTCTTAAGGAAGTGCTGTGTATATTTCGAATCTTGATTAATCATCTTTATAGTAGATTCAATTGTATCATGTGGAATTTCTGCTTGTACTGTAATAATATATCATTATTTGAGAGTGCCTCTATATTCACAGTGACAGTAGATACTTCAAGAGGCAGAATTGTGTGGGCCAACAAGAATAAAAACTCAGAATACAGATTCTAAGACCCACTTCTACATGAAATTCCTACTCTGGTAAGTTTATCTTTCACCAGTTACATACATGTCTTAGCATAAAGTAAAAAGACTTTTTCTCTTCATAGGGGCCATAATTAAGAGTAAATACCACATCAAAATTTTCTTTGGGATTTTATCTTTTGAAATCTGCTAGAAGCATTTTTCTTCTTCTCCTTTTTTTATTTTTTTTTTGCTACCCTAATAATCCTAAATGATGTTTTAGAAAGTTTATCAAAATACAACCAATATTTCCTCAAATACTCCTTATATTTATACATGCAGAGAACACAGTTTTTATATTTACTTTAGAATTCAAATATAATTTTCACTATAAACATACTAGGATAATATGTATATTGACAATAAAAATTATGACTAAATAATTTCATCAGGATGTACAACTACCATTACTCACTAAATTCAGTTATATGTACTTCCCAGATATAGCAGTGTGAAACTTACAATACCAGAAACAAAACTTATTCAAGTAATGATTTTCCACTTATAAAACATTCATTTCTTAAGTGTTAGATAGTAAAGGTTTTCATTATTCAATTAAAGAATACTAAGATGATGAACATTCTTTGTATAAGAATGTATGGACTAAAGTCTCACTTTGACCCATTTAACTTACAAACAAACACTTTGCAGTTTCAAATCAGTCACATACTATCTTCCCCCCAGGGCCATCTAGAATAACATAGAAGAACTGATGGTCTTGGGGATTTCCTGAATACTAGATTTTGAACTCTTAAAGATGAAAGGAAAGATTTACCTCTAGAAGAGCATCAGCTGAATCGTGAAGACAGAGGACCAGGGTCCCTACTCGGGCCATATTGTTGACATACGAAAAGGAAATCAAGAAAATAGCTACAAGGTGATGCAGGAACATAATGCCAAAGTCCTTAGGGAAGGAAAAACACAGCCATGTTAGATCTTAGAGGACAGCAATATTTCCATTCATCTCTTCTGTTATTCAACAAGTATTTCCCAAGGTTCTTAAAGGACCTAGCACTGGAGATACTAAAATGAGCAAGATGTATTTCCTACCCTCTGGGAGCTCACTATAGAGTGGCAGAGACACAAAGGGGACCAGTGACTATGAAGAATGTGATAAACACCAGGATTAAGGGCAGATCATAAAGGGTGTTTTGTATGTAAACCAGAGAATTTGAAGCTATGGGAGAAATTGCCTCAGAGTTTCAAACAAAGAAAGATATTACTTGGATCTCTACTTTAGGAAAATCTTTAGGGCAGCACCACAGGACCAACAGAACCACTTCTCCAACTACTGTGGCTGAGGATTCGGCATCCTTCTCCTGGAATGCTCATAGGGAAGGCAAAATAAGAATCCTAATATGGGGCTTTTCTGATGAATCCTACAAAAACAAGCCCTAAATTTGAACCCCTACCTATCCATAGCCATTAGAAAAAGAAACTGGCAAAAGTAATGATAAATGCACCACCTTTATTTCACGTGGAGCTGCTGCTTAGCCCATGTGAAAAGATCATCTTTCTCTGACACTGATTCATCTACTGTCCATCTGGACATCGTTTGTTATGATGTGGAATTTCTGTTGCTTAGAAATACAGTCTCTCATGTACTAATATTTTTACCCTTATTTATTTTTAAAAATTTATTTATTTACTTGAGAGAGAGAGCGAGCATGCACACATGAGTGGGGAGAGCAGCAGAGGGAGAGAGAGAATCTCAAGCAGACTCTCCACTGAGCTCAGAGCTCCACACACAGGCCTGTGTGGAGCTCATGACCCTGAGATCATGACTTGAGCCAAAATGAAGAACTGACTGAGCCACCCACGTGCTCCTTTGCTCTTATTTGTAAATCTATTTCTTCCAGAGTATACTTGAACTTCTTTGGAATTTAAATGCCAACATTGGCCTTAATGGTGATCTACTCGAAGCCTTTGAAAAATAAGGCTAATCATGTAAAGACAAATAAATTAGCCAAAATGAAAAGCATATTATGAAACTAAGAAAGAGAACAAATATGTATGTATGTATGTATGTGTGTGTGTATGTATGTGTGTGTGTGCATGTACATATATATATAAACACCTTCAATAAAAGCCATGCAATCATTATTTTATGTGTTCTATCTCCTTACCTTGATACCTTTAAGTAGGCACTGAATTTGATCTAAATAACATTTTTAAATAAATTGTCAACTTGGACCCTCTCAAGGCAGGGTAACAACTCCCATCCTCAGGTTTGTTATTGCTGAAATGACTGGTGTGTAGGTAGGCACAGGCTTAGCCGCAGGAACCTTAGCATCTTAGGTTGAAAATGTTCTCCTGCATTTTTGGTGGCAGCAATTAAGTAGAAATATTGTGATTTATTCTTGGCACTCAAACTGAGGACTGATTCCAAAGACCTTATTCAAAACAGACCAGTCTGGTCACCTGTTTCACTGGTGTCCCCCACCTTCTGCTGTTCTGCCATATTGTTTCTGGACATCTTCACAGTCACCATCAAGGGCTCCTTCTATGTTTGCTGCCTAATAAGGACCCTGATCTCAGCTCCCATTCCAGTGGCTGTCCTTATGTCAATTATTAGAGATGGAAAAAAAAAATCAGATGTAGTCTTGACTCAAAGTCAATTAGAATGAGTCTGAAATGAAAGGATTCAAGGAAGAGCCATCCAATTTTCATACCAGAAACTGTTAAGATAATGCTGTTTTTTTCTTATTACATATTGAATGGCATTTAGAGAACCTAGAATACCCTCTTAGTCTGTTCTGTGTAGGTTTCACAACAGAAATTCCTGGATGCATGTAAAATTCAGCTACTTGGACTCCATTGCCAAATGTCAGAATGAGAAATGGCATCCTTACTTCAGTTCTCCATGGGAATTTCTCACAAAATAAAATATTAGTGGTAAAAGGCCAGAAGGATTACCCTCATTAAAACATAAGTCTGTGTTCTGTATGCTGGAACTCCCTTTGCAATGACTGGGATGCAAAGACTCTTGGAAATAATGCTCTGTCTCCAGGAGGCACCAGAAATTCATCATGATGTACAAGTTTTTATGAAAGCAAAATTAACTTATTTCTCATTGGCGGGGGGAAAACCACTGCAAACAACAAGAAACTTATTCTCTAAATTCCCATTTGCTGGATAAAGTACTCATAATTTCATATGGTTTGTTTTGGGAATAATTTTAGCAACAAATAAAGCAAAACACTTGTGAACCTTCTGAAAAAAGAAATAAGACCAAGATTTTAAGTGATAGCTGATTTAGATGTAGATAGGTAGTGAAGAGCCATTCTCCTACACCATTCACAAAGACAAACTTTAAATGGATGAAAGACCTCAGTGTGAGACAGGAATCCATCAAAATCCTAGAGGGGAATAACAGTCACAGCAACTTCTTTCAAGACTCGTCTCCAAAGGCAAGGGAAACAAAAGTGAAAATGAACTTTTGGGACTTCATCAAGGTCAAAAGCTTCTGCACAGCAAAGGAAACAGTCAACAAAACAAAGAGGTACACCACAGAATGGGAGAAGATATTTGCAAATGACACTGTAGATAAAGGGCTGATATCTAAGATCTATAAAGAACTTCTCAAACTCAACACCTAAAAAACAAATAAGTCAAAAAATGGGCAGAAGACAAGAATAGGCACTTCTCCAAAGAAGACATACACGTGGCTAACAGATGCATGAAAAATGTTTATCATCATTAGCCATCAGTGAAATTCAAATCAAAATCACACTGAGATACCACATTACACCTGTTAGAATGGCAAAAATTGACAAGGCAAGAAACAACAAATGTTGGAGAGATTATGGAGAAAGGGGAACCCTCTTACACTGTTGGTGGGAATGGAAGCTGATACAGCCACTTTGAAAAACAGTGTGGAGGTTCCTCAAAAAATTAAAAATAGAGCTACTCTACGACTCAGTAATTGCACTACTGGGCATTTACGCCAAAGATATAGATGTAGTAAAAAGAAGGGGCATATGCACCCCAATGTTCAGAGCAGCAATGCCCACAATAGCCAAACTGTGGAAAGAGCCGAGATGCCCTTCAACAGACAAATGGATAAAGAAGATGTGGTCCATATATATAATGGAATATTATTCAGGCATCAGAAAGGATGAATACCCACCATTTACATCAACATGGATGGAATTGGAGAAGATTATGTTGAGTGAAATAAGTCAAGCAAAGAAAGTCAATTATCATATGGTTTCATTTATTTGTGGAGCATAAGGAATAGCATGGAGGACATTAGGAAAAGGAAGGGAAAAATGAAGTAGGGGGGATCATGGGGGAGACGAACCATGAGACACTCTACACTATGGGAAACAAACCGAGGGTTTTAGAGGGGAGGGGGGCAGGGGGATGGGTGAACCTGGTGATGGGTATTAAGGAGGGCATGGATTTGCATGGGGCACTGGGCGTTATATACAAACAATGAATCATGGAACACTACATCAAAAACTAATGATGTACTGTATGGTGACTAATATAACACAATGAAAAAATTTAAAAAATAAAGAGAAGACATGTGAGATTTAAAAAAAAAAGAATATGAAATATTTCTAAAGTACAAGGCAAAGAATGACATGTATTAGCTTTCCTGAATTTAACAAATAAAATTAATATAATAAACTTATAATAGAAAATTACCTGATTAGAAATGAGGTAATTATCACCAGGTTGCCCATTTAACAATTTTCAAATTCTCTAAGGGAACGGACAGACAACACCATAAAAAAATTATTTTTGAAAGAGAGAGAGAACAGAGAGGGAGGGGCTAAGGGAGTGGGAGAGAGAATCTTAAGCAGGCTCGCTGCTCAGCACGGAGGCTGACACAGGGCTTGATCTCAAAACTCTGAGATATGACCCGAGCCAAATCAAGAGTTGGGTGCTTAACTGACTGAGCCACCCAGGCAACCCAGCAACACTGTAATTTAAAGATGATTTCATTGTATGGCAACTACAGCAACAGTTCAAATCTCTCAGATCTATTTGTTTTGTTTTGCTTTAAATAGTTTATTTGAACCTTCAAGGTACCCAGAAAGTTGTGTGACTTTTTACAGAATAACATGTTATTCTTCATAGAGATCAATAACACTGTCTTCCTATCTCTTCACTTGGGATTTTGCAACCTGAGGGTAAAACTCAGAAAGCTGGAGAGAAGCAAGTTGTGCAAGAAGTGGCAATGTGCTGGCAATGTGCAGGGGACAGTGGCCATGTAGGCTCATCTCCACCACAGCCCAAATGCACAGATGGAGACAGGAGGATCTCAGACACAACTTACATATGGCAAGAAAAACCACAGGTACTTTTTCCTTTGAGGGAATATGAAAAATAGGTTCTCAACCTGTGACTATAACTTAAGTCCTGATCAATAGCATGAATATAAAAATAAAAATAAAAATACATAAATATATATACATATGTGTGTGTATACATATATCTATCTATCTATCTCTATATATCTATATATATCTACCTTTTAAAGAGCTAAGAAACAAGAGACTGAAAAACCATCTAGGTCTTGAGATGATGACTGAAGTAAAAGTATATTCACGGTGATTTACAGAAATCAGTTGATTTTGATTTGCCCTATATTAGGTAATTTGAGGAAAATTATACCTTTCTCTTACTCATGCATGGTGTGAAAAGTTCACAGAAGGTATTTAAAAATGTCAACTTTTGGGTATCTGCAGTCTTCCTCAATTTATTTGGCTACTTTATTTTTAGCTGGCCTCGAATATTGGTGTACTATAAAGAGAACTGGTTAAATGTGCCATTAAAAAAAAAAGATATTTCAAGTAACAGGGCTCTTCAAAAACTGTGACTTGAATTCACTGTCATTCTCATGGAGAGCCTATACATGTTAGGGTAAATATTCATGGGAAAATGTAGGAAGGG